GTGCAAGGGACAGGAGTATAATGCACGGCGTAGTGAATGCACTGCAGGGGTTGAGTATAACATCCGACATAGTGTATAGAGTGCAAGGGACAGGAGTATAATGCACGGTGTAGTGAATGCACTGCAGGGGTTGAGTATAACGTCCGACATAGTGTATAGAGTGCAGGGGACAGGAGTATAATGCACGGCGTAGTGAATGCACTGCAGGGGTTGAGTATAACGTCCGACATAGTGTATAGAGTGCAGGGACAGGAGTATAATGCACGGCGTAGTGAATGCACTGCAGGGGTCAAGAGAATAACGTCCGACATAGTGTATAGAGTGCAGGGGACAGGAGTATAATGCACGGCATAGTGTATAGAGTGCAGGGGACAGGAGTATAATGCACGGATTAGTGAATGCACTGCAGGGGTCAAAAGTATAACATCCGACATAGTGTATAGAGTGCAAGGGACAGGAGTATAATGCACGGCGTAGTGAATGCACTGCAGGGGTTGAGTATAACATCCGACATAGTGTATAGAGTGCAAGGGGACAGGAGTATAATGCACGGTGTAGTGAATGCACTGCAGGGGTTGAGTAATAACGTCCGACATAGTGTATAGAGTGCAGGGGACAGGAGTATAATGCACGGCGTAGTGAATGCACTGCAGCTGCAGGGGTCAAGAGAATAACGTCTCCGACATAGTGTATAGAGTGCAGGGGACAGGAGTATAATGCACGGCATAGTGTATAGGTGCAGGGGACAGGAGTATAATGCTCGGCATAGTGTATAGAGTGCAGGGGACAGGAGTATAATGCACGGGCATAGTGTGTATAGAGTGCAGGGGACAGGAGTATAAATGCACGGATTAGTGAATGCACTGCAGGGGTCAAATGTATAACATCCGACATAGTGTATAGAGTGCAAGGGACAGGAGTATAATGCAACGGCGTAGTGAATGCACTGCAGGGGTTGAGTATAACATCCGACATAGTGTATAGAGTGCAAGGGACAGGAGTATAATGCACGGTGTAGTGAATGCACTGCAGGGGTTGAGTATAACGTCCGACATAGTGTATAGAGTGCAGGGGACAGGAGTATAATGCACGGCGTAGTGGAATGCACTGCAGGGGTCAAAAGTATAACATCCGACATAGTGTATAGAGTGCAAGGGACAGGAGTATAATGCACGGCGTAGTAAATGCACTGCAGGGGTTGAGTATAACGTCCGACATAGTGTATAGAGTGCAGGGGACAGGAGTATAATGCACTGCGTTAGTGAATGCACTGCAGGGGTTGAGTATAACGTCCCGACATAGTGTATAGAGTGCAGGGGACAGGAGTATAATGCCAAAGATGCGTAGTGAATGCACTGCAGGGGTCAAGAGAATAAACGTCCGACATAGTGTATAGAGTGCAGGGGACAGGAGTATAATGCACGGCATAGTGTATAGAGTGCAGGGGACAGGAGTATAATGCACGAAATAGTGAATGCACTGCAGGGGGTCAAAAGTATAACATCCGACATAGTGTATAGAGTGCAAGGGACAGGAGTATAATGCACGGCGTAGTGAATGCACTGCAGGGGTTGAGTATAACATCCGACATAGTGTATAGAGTGCAAGGGACAGGAGTATAATGCACGGTGTAGTGAATGCACTGCAGGGGTTGAGTATAACGTCCGACATAGTGTATAGAGTGCAGGGGACAGGAGTATAATGCAACGGCGTAGTGAATGCACTGCAGGGGTCAAAAGGCACGGCGTAGTAAATGCACTGCAGGGGTCAAGAGTAATAACGTCCGACATAGTGTATAGAGTGCAGGGGACAGGAGTATAATGCACGGCGTAGTGAATTGCACTGCAGGGGTCAAGAGTATAACGTCCGACATAGTGTATAGAGTGCAGGGGACAGGAGTATAATGCACGGCGTAGTGAACGCACACTGCAGGGGTCAAGGGAGAGAATAACGTCCGACATAGTATAACGCAGGGGTCGTCCGACATAGACATAGTGTATAGAGTGCAGGGGGCAGGAGTATAATGCACGGGCATAGTGAACGCACTGCAGGGGTCAAGAGTATAACGTCCAACATAGTGTATATAGTGCAAGGGTCAGGAGTATAGTCTACAACAGGGTTTCTCAAGCCCTAGGGTGTTGCTAGAGGTCAACATGCAATTTCTGCCTCTCTGATGAGTTACCACTGACACCATCGATCTTTTTAGCTATTTGTAAGGGGATAATTCTTCCCGATGACCACAAATGTAATGAGTATTCTTTCTCCTGACCACCACACTAATGTATAATATGTTGCAGATATAGTAATATCAGCAGGGGTTTCCCTTGAGACTGGAAAGTTACTTCAAGGGTTCTTCTGTATTTAAAAGGTTGAGAAAGGCTGGTCTACAATATTGCATGTACAACAAAGCAGAGGTCAGTATACTGTATACTGTTCAGGATTTATATTATATTATACAGGATTTATATATTATTATTATTATATTCAGGATTTATGGCGCCAACAGTTTGCTCAGCACTTTACAATATAAAGGGAGACAATACAGCAACAATACAGTTCAATACAAGAGGGTTAGGGAGGCCTGATCCTTGGAGCTTACAATCTAAGAATAACACAGTGACTACTTTGCAGGGGTCAGGAGTATAGTGTACAACATAGTGAATACGTTGCAGGGGTCAGGAGTATAGTGTATTATTATTATAATACAGGATTTATATAACAAGGGTTAGGAGGGCCCTGCTCCTTGGAGCTTACAATCTAAGAGATAACATAGTGAATGCTTTGCAGAGGTCAGGAGTATAGTGTATTATTATAATACAGGATTTATATATCGCCAACAGTTTGCTCAGCACTTTACAATATAAAGGGAGACAATACAGCAATGATACAGTTCAATACAAGAGGGTTAGGAGGGCCCTGCTCCTTGGAGCTAACACTCTAAGAGATAACACAGTGAATACTTTGCAGGGGTCAGGAGTATAGTGTATAACATAGTGAATACTTTGCAGGGGTCAGGAGTATAGTGTATAACATAGTGAATACTTTGCAGGGGTCAGGAGTATAGTGTATAACATAGTGTATCAGGAGTATATAGTGTATAACATAGTGAATACTTTGCAGGGGTCAGGAGTATAGTGTATAACATAGTGAATACTTTGCAGGGGTCAGGAGTATAGTGTATAACATAATGACTGCTTTGCAGGGGTCAGGAGTATAACATACAACATAGTGAACAAACACTTTGCAGGGGTCAGGAGTATAACCTACAACATAGTGAATACTTTGCAGTTGCCAGGAGTATAACCTACAACATAGCATATACCGTTCAGGGGTCAAGAATATAACATACAACTTAGTGTATATTGTTTAGGGGCAAAGAGTATGATGTACATCATAGCATATAAAGTGAAACGGTGAGGAGTATAATGTACAACATAGCATGCAGGCGCAGGCGTCAGGAGTATTCTGCACAACATAGTGAATACATTGCAGGGGTCAGGAGTATAACCTACAACATGGTGTATATTGTTCAGGGGTGAAGAGTATAACATACTACTTAGTGTATACAGTTGAGGGGTCAAGAGTATAACGTACATCATAGCATATATAGTGTAAGGAAGAGGAGTATAATGTACAGCATAGCATGCTTAATGCAGGGGTCTGGAATATAGTGTACAACATAGCAAATACATTGCAGGGGTCAGGAGTATCATAGTGTGTGCCGTTCAGCGGTCAGGGGTGTAACATACAACTTCAAGTATACGGTTCAGGGGTCAATAGTATAAAGTGCATCATAGTATATATAGTGCAAGGGTCAGGAGTATAATGTACATAATTGTACCTCCAGCAATTGTACATTAAAGCTATGTCCACCAGTTCTTAGTAAATCAGCCACCGACTTCCAAAAAACGTCTTTTGATGTCTTAGTTCCACCTATTGCAATGAAAGGAGCCGTCACTTTGGCTCCCCCAAATTTATACAGTTTAAATTAAGACTCAGCAGATTTTTAATCTCTTCCTGCCCAGCCTCAGCATCCCTTTAAATGGGACGCTACGCCTCAGGGGTGGGGTGGACTGCACGATCACATGGACACTGCGATTGGCTGTCACAGTGGTCACATGTTCAAGAGCTTGTCCTCCCAATTGGGAATGGAGGCGGAGATGCTTTCCATCTTACTGTATCAGGGGAAGATTCCAAAACGAAGGAGTCCATTGACGTAGAATTAGTGGCCGATTTATCCTCTTCAGCCTGAAAAAAAAAAAGCACTTGTTCTTTTAGTTTAACCTTGAAAACCTTTTTAAAAGAAACCTGTGATATAAGAAATACGGTGATTGCCGTTGAAGACCGCCCTTTGAAAATTGCGTTTTCAGAAGGAGAGGTCCGCGTTGGCAGTCGCCATGTTTCTCTCGTGAACGATTTACTTTAAACACTGAGGTTCAGCTAGACGTCTATTGTTTACATTCCTGGTAATGTGCTCATCAGTTTGTTTGAGTTGGTTTTGGGTGCCGTGTGTTTCAGTTCTATGAACTAAAGAGAAGTCCTCAAGTCTACAAAATTTATATATTGCCTAAAATTGTGCTCAATTCTGGAGATATTTCTATTGCTAACCAAATAAAAACTTTGTTAAATGATATGTATGACAATAAAATCATTTAGTCATGAACCTGGCTGTTCAATTCATTCTCCGTTTATTAATTATGATTTTTGTTTTATTTGATCGTGTGTTATGGAAATGTTCTTATATTTATCATAAAATATTTTCAATATCCAGCAGGGATACGGTGGCATCACCTTATTAACTACAGCAGGTGTCCCTATGAGATATGAAGAAAAAAAAATTTCATTAATTTAGCTAACCCATAGGATTCCTCCTGAGGTTGCTTGGAGTTCCGAGGAATAAGCAATTTCTTAAAAACATAAACACTCCAATGATATTTTTAGCTGTTCAAGAATTTTTTTCCACTGACCACCAATGTAAGGAGCATTCTTCTCACTGACCACCAATGTAAGGAGCATTCTTCCCACTGATCACCAATGTAAGGGACATTCTTCCCACTGACCCCCAATGTAAGGGACATTCTTCCCACTGACCCCCAATGTAAGGAACATTCTTCCCACAGACCACCAATGTAAGGGACATTCTTCCCACTGACCACCAATGTAAGGGACATTCTTCCCACTGACCACCAATGTAAGGGACATTCTTCCCACTGACCACCAATTTAAGGGACATTCTTCCCACTGGCCACCAATGTAAAGAACATTCTTCCCACTGATCACACCAATGTAAGGAGCATTCTTCTCACTGATCACCAATGTAAGGAAGATTCTTCCCACTGACCACCAAAGTAAGGAACATTCTTCTCACTGAGCACCAATGTAAGGGGCATTCTTCTCACTTGCCACCAATGTAAGGAACATTCTTCCCACTGGCCACCAATATAAGGAGCAATCTTCCCATTGGCCACCAATGTGAGGAGCATTCTTCTTATTGACGACCAATGTAAGGGACATTCTTCTCACTAGCCACCAACGTAAGGAGCATTCTTCTCACTGGCCACCAATGTAAGGAGCATTCTTCCTACTAACCACCAATGTAAGGGACATTCTTCTCACTGGCCACCAATGTAAGGAGCATTCTTCCCACTGACTACCAATGTAAGGAGCATTCTTCCCACTGATCACCAATGTAAGGAGCATTCTTCCCACTGATCACCAATGTAAGGAGCATTCTTCCCACTGATCACCAATATAAGGAACATTCTTCCCACTGATCACCAATATAAGGAACATTCTTCCCACTGATCACCAATGTAAGGGGCATCCTTCCCACTGATCACCAATGTAAGGGACTTTCTTCCCACTGATCACCAATGCAAGGAGCATTTTTCCCACTGACCAGCAATGTAAGGGGCATTCTTCCCACTGACCACCAATGTAAGGGACATTCTTCCCACTGACCACCAATGTAAGGGACATTCTTCCCACTGACCACCAATGTAAGGAGCATTCTTCCCACTGATCACCAATGTAAGGAGCATTCTTCCCACTGACTACCAATGTAAGGAGCATTCTTCCCACTGATCACCAATGTAAGGAACATTCTTCCCACTGATCACCAATGTAAGGGACATTCTTCCCACTGATCACCAATGTAAGGGACATTCTTCCCACTGATCACCAATGTAAGGGACATTCTTCCCACTGATCACCAATGTAAGGAACATTCTTCCCACTGATCACCAATGTAAGGAACATTCTTCCCACTGATCACCAATGTAAGGAACATTCTTCCCACTGATCACCAATGTAAGGGACATTCTTCCCACTGATCACCAATGTAAGGAACATTCTTCCCACTGATCACCAATGTAAGGGACATTCTTCCCACTGACCACCAATGTAAGGGACATTCTTCCCACTGATCACCAATGTAAGGGACATTCTTCCCACTGACCACCAATGTAAGGGACATTCTTCCCACTGACCCCCAATGTAAGGGACATTCTTCCCACTGACCACCAATGTAAGGGACATTCTTCCCACTGACCACCAATGTAAGGGACATTCTTCCCACTGATCACCAATGTAAGGTACATTCTTCCCACTGACCACCAATGTAAGGAGCATTCTTCCCACTGATCACCAATGTAAGGAGCATTCTTCCCAATTTTTCTTTATTAAAAGTCTTGCAATCAATAAACATAAAATCATATACAGAATATACAAAAATAATTATATACATATTTACACAAGAAAGAAAATATAGCAAAATCTGTCAGATAAAAGATGGCTTTGTAGCAAAAAGCAAAACTCTCATATATGAATATGTTGGTACTGGGGGAAATAAATCTTACTAAGACTCACATCACTACACCAGACATCAAACTTGCGAAGTCAAGAAACAACCCCGCCCCCATTATGCATTCAGCCCTTCTTCAAAAATAATATTTTAACCAACAAAAACTAAGTGAGTGAAAAGAACAGCATAAGAAGAGAGCCCCTCACCCAGAGATGGACAGTTCACCAAAGGCAGGTCTGATATTCCTCCATGTCCTTATCCAGACCGCCCGAGGCTCCCTGCCCTTCTCAAGACCCCAAATCTTCCCAACCTCACCCAGAATATCATGCACCACCACCTCAACAGGGAGGACTTTCTTCCACAGGGTAATCTGACACTGTATTCCACGTGAAGTAACGAACATCTATACTAACCAGAAAAAGTGTATCCAAATCAAAATCCCAGCGAGCTGGGAATGCCCCGTACACCCACTCTGCATAACTCATGTGATAGATGCCCAGAACCCTCCCCACCCTTTTATACACCTCTATCTTAAAGGGACACTAAAGCAGAAAGTGGTCCACTTTACCAACACACTCCGCTCTAGGACAATCCCAATCATCCACAGGGCGATGCTTCAGGTTCACATAGAGCCTTCCATGGAAAGCGAGCCAGGCTTGATCCCTAAACTTCAAAGGGATTCTGTCCAAATTAATTAAACCCAATCCCTCCCTCATTACAGAGCCTGGGCAATCCTTTAAGGCCAGTGACACACTGTAAGCAGAAAACAAAATCCTCTCCTCCATAAGCTTCCTGGGAAGGGACCTGATATCATCCACTGTCAACTGCCACTGCCGAAGTATTTTCAGACACGGGGCAACATAAGCCGGGAGCTTGCCATGTCAGACTCTCAGACTGTTCACTGGCCCGCCATCTTCCCAGCAACGCATAAAAGTCTTAAACCAAGATTGAAAAATGCCCACCCATCCCGACTTGGTCTCTGCTAACATATTACCAAGATTGTACTTTAATAAGACCAAAGAAAAGAAAACTATTGGGTTGACCATTCCTAGGCCACCCTCCCTCTTGGACAGGTAAGTTACATTGCGTTTGATCATTTTCAGCCTATTTCCCCTTAACAGATGGAAAAAAACAGCTGTAGACCCTTGCATAGAGAGATACAGATGAAGCTGACATATAAAAAGATCGGGATCAGGTAAGTTTTGATCAAGGCAACCCTCTCCCTCAAGGAAAGCCTCCATCTCTTCCAGCTTGCTACTTTGGCATTGGCATCTACCAATCTACTTTCCAAATTTCGATAACCATAGTCACCAGGACCAAATTTGATACTCAATACTTTAATTTCCTGCTGGGGCTCCAGGAAGGCATCCGGAAGTTCAAAGCTTTCACCCTCCTCACCCATCCAGAAAACTTCATTCTTTTCATGGTTGACTTTAGAGCCAGAAGCCTCCATGTACTGCTGTATCACAGAGACTACCTCCTGCGCCTCCTCAGTACCCGAAACAATAACAGACACATCATTGGCATGGGCCATGACCTTGAAAGATGGCATACCAATAATGCCCAGAGGCTACCCACACAATGATCCACCCTCTAGCCTTCTTACAAAGAGGTCGATTGCGAAAGCATATAGCAGGGGGCTCAAAGGACATCCTTGGCGCACACCAGAGCCAACCTCAAAGGGCCGTCCAACCCAACCATTTACAAGTGGGAAGCTCAGCAAGTACTTTCTCCATCCAGCAGCCCTGCATCGCTCCAAAGCCTCCGAACAGCCAAAACTACTGAAAAGGTACTTTTACCTTGCACTGAACAGTAGTGATGGCTGGACAACAAATCGCCTGCTACTAATGACAAGTGCCAAAAAAGAATCTTTGCCAAGATCTTTATATCAACATTGAAAAGACTGATGGGGTGCCAGTTCTCAATCATTGAAGGGTCTTTACCTTTTGACAGAAAAATCACAGCGGATTGCCTCATGGAGGGAGGGAGCGAAGCCTCTTCTAGACAGCTGTTAAAAACCTCTGCTAAAAAGAAAGCCAGAATGGCTTTGTAAGATTCTGCTGTCAATCCATCTGGCCCAGGCAATTTTTGTTAACTAGCTTGTCTATAACACAAACTCACTCATCCACTAAAATTGGTTCTGTCAAATTCATCAAAAGCAATGTACCATTTCCCAATCCTGGAGTAGAATTCACAAAGCTTTCCATCTTGTCCCAGCTAATGTCCTTTCTTCCCAGGAGGTCTGCATAATATGACCCGAAGGTCTCCAAGATCCCTGATCTGCACTTCACCAGGGAACCCGTACTGTCTTTCAGGCCAGTGACCATCTTAGCTGCTATGCCTTGCTTACAGTTCTGGTAAGGATCAGTGATATTTCCCATAATCCCTCTCAAGAACCAAGGAGGCATGTTGGTCATATTGACACTTCCTAAGAAAAGCTTCACCTCAGAGATCTCCCCTGGATTTCCTCCATACAAGACAAGACGATCAAGATTCATCCACAAATGCTGGTAGGTAATATGCATACCAAGCTGCTTCTTCTTACTTATGACCTTGAAAAGTCCAATCGCCCTTTTGTTTCACAAGCTACCACAACTCTGACTTACTGCTGCAAAAGTCCAGAATAGAAACCTGTGCCTCAAAGGATTGTCTTACCTCTACATCTTCTAGGAGAGCCAAATTCAGTTTCCAGACATGCCTTCCCCTGGGTAGTGTCCGAGGCATTCAAAGTACACCACCCTCAACTCAGGAACCGAGAAAGCAGAGTTCTCCTTTAAAAAAAACCCTGTCTATCCTGCTCTGACTATTCTCTCTCCAAAATGTGAGACCCTTGCTGCAAGGGCACGTCTACCAGGCCTGCCTGTCTAACCAAATCTCTGAGAAAAACGCTATCATAACCCAGCCTGTCTATGGAGCTTCTCCTGTCTTCAGGCCTAATTATGGTGTTAAAGTCACCTCCAAAGACAACCTGCTGGGATGTAAAAAGGAAGGCCTTGATTTTTGTGAGGAGGCATTTCCTGCCACATTTTGACTGCAGTCCTTAGATATTGATCAGGCGCACAGCTCCTGCCCCCTAACAGAGACGTCTAAGACCATGCATCTCCCCATTTCTACCTCATTTACCCGCCGGCACGTTACCGTATCGGTTTTAAAAAGCACCGCATCTCCATTGCAAGGTTCAGCTGCAAGAGACCAAAAGGAGGGACCACATCTCCACTGCCTTTTTGCTTGATGGACATCGGCCAAAGTATTGAGCCAGGTCTCCTGCAAAAATAAAATCTCAGCATCAAACTCACTGAGCAAAAATAAGGCCGTATCACGAGCTCTTGCAGATTTAATACTGGTGACATTAAAGGTCTCCACCTTTAACGGAGCCGGAACTGCCATCAGGATGATTGGGGTAGTCGTTTCGTAACCTCTACCACACTCTCATCACCCAAAACAGCTCATTTCAGACTATGTGACTCCCCTTCATCCATAGATGATAAAGAAATTGATAAATCAGACTCCAACTCATCACCTGACAAAACTGCATAGATGTTGCCAGGAGGGACCCCTCATGGGTTTGATTCTGAGGAAGAAAGGACAGCTCTTCTCACCCTCTTCTTCCTCTTTTTCTTCCTCTTGACCCTCTCCCACCACTCATCAGCTGAATCCCTTTCAAAAGGAGGTGAGACATGGGACATGGACATCCCTCCCTCAGCCCCATCGGCTCTACCCCCGTCCAGAACCCCCACACTCTCCTGGCCACGTTTGCACTGTCAGGGGGCAGGTACTGGAGGTGGAGTAGGCAGAGAGGGAAGATCTACTAAACCCACCCCCCCAGCAGCTTCCGCTAGTCTGGAGGATCTACGTACCGTAGGATTAGGATCAGAGGGGACAGACTCAGGGATGACATTACTATGGAAAACCGAATCTGACACAACAGATGGAACAGACACAGGAGGGTCAAAAACCGTTTCCTCCTTAGCATCAGCTGCCTCTTCTTCTTTATCCAGCCTCTGCAGCTCAGCCTCCAGTCCTGGCAAGTTGTGTAGTGCCTCTGGGCACTGACTATATGGATGACTCAGCTCCTGGCACAAATTGCACCAAATCTGGGTGCATTCTTTGGCCAAATGGCCTAAATCCTGGCACAGTGAGCATTTTTGATGGAACAGGACATGGCAAAGTAGCCTTTTTCTCCACGTTTATTACAAACCTTAGGCTGAACCTGATAGCTTATGGTCAGCCTATCCCTCCCCAGAAAGGCTGAGCAGGGCAGGTGCTGAACTACATTGCTCAGCGCCCTCAATTGCAGCGACACTGTCCAGGCCCCTGTCCATATCTCATGTTCAGCAAGGGCCTTCCACAGTGGTGTGAGAACCTCGCCACATCGGTGTAGCCACACTACCAAATCAGCCTGTGGTGTTGATTCATTATGGACCAAAATCAACACCGATTTTATCAAAGGCTGCCTTGAAACCAACTTTGGCAACAAACCTCTCCACTGCTGAAGGCCCCTGCACTTCCTATGCTGTATCTCTCCCAAAAAATATCAAGAACTTTAGGTTTCACAAACGATAAATGATGGCAGATCAAAGCAAAAATCAAAATCTTCAAAATCAGCTCAGCCACCCTCCCCCTTACTGGTGGGGTTCCCTCCTCCTCCAACCTCAACTGCACAACATTCCTCCTCCTGAACCCACCAACCATCCCACCAGCAAACCTCCCCAAATTGTGACTACTAGAATTGCCAACATTCCCTCCACTCACCTTGGTGCGACTCCCCAAAACAGAGGCATAGCTCCCCACATTCCTCCCAGCAGCAGAAACATTTGTGTGTTTGGTTGCATCTGATAAAACTCTATCAGATACTGATTGTACAGATTCCAGATTGGATGGTGAATCCTATCTCTGCTGAGCAGGTGGAGAAATGTCATTTTTACTCTTGTCAGCAACATTAACCATTTCACCACCACCCACCACCAACACATCCATTGCTTTACCAGTCTCACCATTCATATTATTTGCTTACACATTCATAGTCTTCACGGCAATGTCCGCACTCACTGCAGTAACAATAGAAACTTCAGCTCTAGCTGTCATCCTCTCCTCCAGGAAAGGGCTTTCAGCCCAGAATAGTGCAGGATATTCAGACACAGCAACAGGTGAAACATCGCTGACACAGGAAACATCCATGTCTGCTTGTACTCCATATCCTCCACATGGTCCAGTGTGCTGCACCCCTTCCCCGCTAGCATCAATTCGCTCTGGAACACATGCAGATCCAGGTGAAGCAGACTCTTTGCAGGTGGCTGCCATCCTGCCTGTAGAGGGACTACTGGTCTCAGCAGAAACAGGAGCAGTAACATTCATCTCCGGGTGTTTGGTGCAGGTCCATTCACATTCCCTTGCTGGTCTGGAGACATCTCTGTTGGGAGTTTTCCCTCCAAGTCTGCAGAAGGTTCCTCCACAGCAGAAGCTTCCATAGGTGGCTGTTTGCAGAGCTCCTTCTCATCAGAGGTACTCACCACAGCCGGTGGGGCAGACATATTGGAAGGCAGCTTGGTGTACTGAGATTTTTCCACCAGTACTGGCTTTGCCAGTCTGTACCTCCTATGTCCATCCTCAGGGACTTCTGAAGGGTCATCAGAGAATAGAAACCTACGTGCCCTCAGGGGTGACTCCATCTGCTGGATGAAGGTCAGGGTTCCATGCTCACTCTCAACCCCCTGGCTGGTTGCCGCTGACAACTCTGCACCCTGACATGGGGGGAGAGAAGCGGAGGAAGATGGAGCTGGGTCATCCATTACCTGGGGCTGCTGATCCACAGAACTTGCCAATGTCTGGCTGGCAAATCTCCTCTGATTGTCAAACTTCTCTGCGAAAGCTCCACTTCTTCCTTTCAGCTTTTCCAATAATAAAGATTGCTTCTTTACTTTTTCTTCCATCTGCTATAGCTCTGACTTCATGGCCAATCGATTATTACTCCAGGCCTAGCAGTATTTGGCTCTGAAGGATTTGTGATCAGCTTTCAAAACTTTTTCCTCAGCTCTTCCAATAGTCATGAACTGATCGATAATCCTCTGTCTACACATCCACATCCTCAATGGGACCTGGACCCACAGTCAGGTCCTCCACCTCCTCTTCCTCCTCCTCACTAGGTCCTGTGTCATCAGGGGGGGTCCCTCCCAGGGCCTCCCCCAGGATCAGGTATTGTTCCTGGGCCAAGCTAGCAGGCAAGGCCCAGGCTTGAAAATGCTGGTTCTCAGATAGAGCTCCTTCACTGTGTTCTCCTTCTCCCACTGACCACCACTGTAAGGAGGATTATTCCCACTGATCACCAATGTAAGGAACATTCCTCCCACTGACCACCAATGTAAGGAGGATTCTTTCCACTGACCACCACTGTAAGGAGGATTCTTCCCACTGACCACCAATGTAAGGAGTATTCTTCCCACTGATCACCAATGTAAGGAGGATTCTTCCCACTGATCACCACTGTAAGGGACATTCTTCCCACTGATCACCACTGTAAGGGACATTCTTCCCACTGACCACCAATGTAAGGGACATTCTTCCCAAAGACCACCAATGTAAGGGACATTCTTCCCACTGATCACCAATGTAAGGGACATTCTTCCCACTGATCACCAATGTAAGGAACATTCTTCCCACTGACCACCAATGTAAGGAGGATTCTTCCCACTGATCACCAATGTAAGGAACATTCTTCCCATTGACCACCAAAGTAAGGAACATTCTTCCCACTGATCACCAATGTAAGGGACATTCTTCCCACTGACACCAATGTAAGGGACATTCTTCCCACTGATCACCAATGTAAGGGACATTCTTCCCACTGATCACCAATGTAAGGGACATTCTTCCCACTGACCCCCAATGTAAGGAGCATTCTTCCCACTGACCACCAATGTAAGGAGCATTCTTCCCACTGACCACCAATGTAAGGAGGATTCTTCCCACTGATCACCAATGTAAGGGACATTCTTCCCATTGACCACCAAAGTAAGGGGCATTCTTCCCACTGACCACCAATGTAAGGGGCATTCTTCCCACTGGCCACCAATGTAAGGAACATTCTTCCCACTGATCACCAATGTAAGGGACATTCTTCCCACTGACCACCAATGTAAGGGACATTCTTCCCACTGATCACCAATGTAAGAGACATTCTTCCCACTGATCACCAATGTAAGGAACATTCTTCCCACTGACCACCAATGTAAGGAGCATTCTTCCCACTGACCCCCAATGTAAGGAGCATTCTTCCCACTGATCACCAATGTAAGGAGCATTCTTCCCACTGATCACCAATGTAAGAGACATTCTTTCCACTGATCACCAATGTAAGGGACATTCTTCCCACTGGCCACCAATGTAAGAAGCATTCTTTCCACTGATCACCAATGTAAGAGACATTCTTCCCACTGACCACCAATGTAAGAGACATTCTTCCCACTGATCACCAATGTAAGAGACATTCTTCCCACTGATCACCAATGTAAGAGACATTCTTCCCACTGACCACCAATGTAAGGGGTATTCTTCCCACTGATCACCAATGTAAGGACATTCTTCCCACTGACACCAATGTAAGGGACATTCTTCCCACTGACCTCCAATGTAAGGGACATTCTTCCCACTGACCACCAATGTAAGGAACATTCTTCCCACTGACCCCCAATGTAAGGAGCATTCTTCCCACTGATCACCAATGTAAGGGACATTCTTCCCACTGACCCCCAATGTAAGGAGCATTCTTCCCACTGATCACCAATGTAAGGGACATTCTTCCCACTGATCACCAATGTAAGGGACATTCTTCCCACTGACCACCACTGTAAGGAACATTCTTCCCACTGACCCCCAATGTAAGGAGCATTCTTCCCACTGATCACCAATGTAAGGGACATTCTTCCCACTGACCACCAATGTAAGGAACATTCTTCCCACTGACCCCCAATGTAAGGAGCATTCTTCCCACTGATCACCAATGTAAGGGACATTCTTCCCACTGACCCCCAATGTAAGGAGCATTCTTCCCACTGATCACCAATGTAAGGGACATTCTTCCCACTGATCACCAATGTAAGGAGGATTCTTCCCACTGATCACCAATGTAAGGAGGATTCTTCCCACTGATCACCACACTGATGTACTGTGATCTGTAGGTATAGTAATTGTTGGCAAATATCTCAAGGGTTCCTCCATGTTAAAAAGGGTTGAGAAATGTTGTCCCGGTATAACAAAATACTAATTCAGACTGCTAATGTTTATATACTTAGTGATCAAACAGAACCCTTCAATGCTAAATTACACTAAATTGCACAATGGCTAAATGGTTAGCACTTTCCCCTGGCAGTACTAGGGTTGCTGGTTCGCATCCCAACCATGGCACCACCTGCCTGGTGTTTGCATGTTCTCCCTGTGCCTGTGGGGGTTTCCTCCTGTACTCCAAAGACATGCTGGTAGGTTAATTGTCCCTAGTATGTGTATGTATGAATGTGAGTTAGGGACCTTAGATTGTACGCTCCTTGGGGGCGGGGACTGATGTGAATGTACAATATATATGTAAATTGATGGCGATATATAAGTACCTATACATAATCCTCAGCAATGATAAATAAGAGGATGGCCAAGTTTGAAAGAATTTCTATTGGTGATTTGTTTACCTCCAAATTTTAACAAATGCTTCCTAACTCTAATTTGTGATCATCCCATTTTAGTTATTCTTGACCCCCCCCCATCAGGATGCCCACTTTACCTGACTTCTACCACCCCCAACATACTCCATCCATTCACTTGTCAAGAAACCCAGCTACGATGTCAATTTGTATGTAACGCCACTCAGAAGTTCCTGATAAAATACACTGAAACCGAAAATCCAGAATTGACCACCCTATACAGGATTTTTAAGGCATCAAAATCATAAGTACAATCCAATATACAATAATGTTATCTTTATTACCGATTATAATAAAACATCACTTGTTAAAAAATTAGGCTGATACATTTGTTGGAACCAACATACCAAGTTGTGACAATTTAATCCTCGGAATGGACTGTCTAAAAAAAAATGGTTTGTGCAGGAGCATTGTCGTGGTGGAGAATCTACCCGTCAGACCAGTGTTCTGGGTTTTTTTCCCTCCAGATTCCTGTAACCTTTTCAGAATTTCCAAGTAACAGTAACTTTGGTTGGTTGACCGAACGAGGGTTTACATTCTGTCCACATTTGCATCCATCCTTTACGTTTATGGCAGCCCACTACTTGTGTCATCACGGACATCTTCCCGCCCCTGCTTAAACTATGCTATTGAAAAACACTCGATTTCTTCATGGAACGTTCACGTTCACTCGCACTTTTGCCAATTTTCATATGATATTTGGTGTTAACCACTTCAATACCGGGCACTTTTACCCCCTTCCTGCCCAGGCCAATTTTCAGGTTTCAGCGCTCTCACACTTTCAATGACAATTGTGCGGTCATACAACATTGTACCAAAACTAAAATTTTATCGTTTTGTTCACACAACTAGAGCTTTCTTTTGCTGGTATTTAATCACTACTGAGGTTTTATATTTTTTTGCTAAATTAACAATAAAAGACCGATCATTTTGAAAAAAAAAAACCCACGTTTTTCTTTGTTTCTTTTATAAAAGTTTGCAAATAAATAATTGTTCTTCATAAATATAGGCCGAGATGTATTCTGCTACATGTCTTTGGTGAAAATAACCCAAGTCAGTATTTGTTATATAGTCTGTAGGAAAGTTATAGACTTCACAAACTATGCTATAGATCTGAAAATCGATCAGTCTTGAAGTACTGACGGCCAATCTAATTTCTTGAGGTCCAAGAATGTCAGAACAGTACAGATATCCCCAAAATGTCAGAACAGTACAGATATCCCCCAAATGTCAGAACAGTACAGATATCCCCCAAAGGTCAGGACAGTACAGATATCCCCCAAATGTCAGAACAGTACAGATATCCCCCAAATGTCAGAACAGTACAGATATCCCCCAAATGTCAGAACAGTACAGATATCCCCCAAAGGTCAGGACAGTACAGATATCCCCCAAATGTCAGAACAGTACAGATATCCCCCAAATGTCAGGACAGTACAGATATCCCCCAAATGTCAGAACAGTACAGATATCCTCCAAATGTCAGAACAGTACAGATATCCCCCAAATGTCAGGACAGTACAGATATCCCCCAAATGTCAGGACAGTACAGATATCCCCCAAATGTCAGGACAGTACAGATATCCCCCCAAATGTCAGGACAGTACAGATATCCCCCAAATGTCAGGACAGTACAGATATCCCCCAAATGTCAGAACAGTACAGATATCCCCCCAAATGTCAGGACAGTACAGATATCCCCCAAATGTCAGAACAGGATAGATATCCCCCAAATGTCAGAACAGTACAGATATCCCCCAAATGTCAGAACAGTACAGATATCCCCCAAATGTCAGAACAGTGCAGATATCCCCCAAATGTCAGGACAGTGCAGATATCCCCCAAATGTTAGAACAGTACAGATATCCCCAAATGTCAGAACAGTACAGATATCCCCCAAATGTCAGGACAGTACAGATATCCCCCAAATGTTAGAACAGTACAGATATCCCCCAAATGTCAGAACAGTGCAGATATCCCCCAAATGTCAGGACAGTGCAGATATCCCCCAAATGTCAGGACAGTACAGATATCCCCCAAATGTCAGAACAGTACAGATATCCCCCCAAATGTCAGGACAGTACAGATATCCCCCAAATGTCAGGACAGTACAGATATCCCCCCAAATGTCAGAACAGTACAGATATCCCCCCAAATGTCAGGACAGTACAGATATCCCCCCAAATGTCAGAACAGTACAGATATCCCCCAAATGTCAGGACAGTACAGATATCCCCCAAATGTCAGAACAGGATAGATATCCCCCAAATGTCAGAACAGTACAGATATCCCCCAAATGTCAGAACAGTGCAGATATCCCCCAAATGTCAGGACAGTACAGATATCCCCCAAATGTCAGAACAGTGCAGATATCCCCCAAATGTCAGGACAGTACAGATATCCCCCAAATGACCTCTTTTTGCAAAGTAGACAGTCCAACGTATTTCATAAGAGGCATGGAGAGTTTTGCTAGGCAATTAGCATTTTAGAGGAGGTCAGCAACGACAACATATCCCATCAGCACGTTTTCTTTAAATAGTCTACCAGAGTGGTGAGGCCTTCATTTTTACCAGAGAAGGCCGACACCTTTCAATGATTTGCCCAGGGTGCAACATAGCCTAAGGAAGAGAGGAAGAGCCTGGGTTGGGTTCATGTGACTGGTCCCTGTCCTTTGTTGAAGGGACATTTAGCACACATGTGCTCACTCCGTGTTCTGAAGCTTGTGCCAGAGTGACTGGAATGGAACAGGTGGCAGGCATTGATGGACGGGGGATAAAGCCAGGAATCTCCCGCACCCCATGGGCAATGGTCACCTTTATGTAACAGGCACCTTCAAATTTTCCATACGCTTCATATTTTATATTTAGAATCTGGGGTGTTACCATCTGCATTGGCCTACACCTGGTCGGTGGTGATTGGGGATAAATTAAAATACATAGGCTGTAGCTACTGGCTGAAAGGTTGATGGGATGGCAGGAACGCTGGAAAATCCCACTCCGGGATAAGCTGCGAAAAGACATTCATTACATCGGACACAGCGACTCTCCTGTATGAAGAAAGCGCAGCTCCCTGTTCTCGTCATGGCAGTGCCAGCATGTATCAAGTGTGATGTGCTATTTATTCCCTGGGTTCCTATAGCAAAGACATAGAAACAGCACTTTAAAAAGAGAACACTGAGCCAGTGACATCAGTCTCTGAACCAGAGGAGCTTACACTCTAATGTCCCCCCCCCACAGTCACACACTATTATTATTATACATTTATATAGCTCTGACATATACTGCAGCGCTGTACAGAGATCACTGAGCCAGTCACATCAGTCTCTGTACCAGAGAAGCTTACACTCTAATGTCCCCTCCCCCCACAGTCACATCAGTCTCTGTGCCAGAAGAGCTTACACTCTAATCCCCCCCCCCACAGTCACACACTATTATACATTTATATAGCTCTGACATATACCGCAGCACTGTACAGAGAACACTGAGCCAGTCACATCAGTCTCTGTACCAGAGAAGCTTACACTCTAATGTCCCCTCCCCCCACAGTCACATCAGTCTCTGTGCCAGAGGAGCTTACACTCTAATGTCCCCTCCCCCACCGTCACACACTATTATTATTATACATTTATATATAGCTCTGACATATACCGCAGCGCTGTACAGAGAACACTGAGCCAGTCAGCGCTGTACAGAGAACACTGAGCCAGTCACAATAGTCTCTGTACCAGAGGAGCTTACGCTCTAATGTCCCCTCCCCCATAGTCACATCAGTCTCTGTACCAGAGGAGCTTACACTCTGCACCAGAGAGGTTGTGGTGCAGTTGCTCTCCCTCTCCGGACACTAGGGGGCCAGGCCTGCTCGCCTGGCCCCAGAAACATGGCCAATCCTGGGATAAGCTCAGACTATGCTCCCCCTGAGGGACCCAGCTTGCCTTCCCATGCTTCACCTACATCAGAAGACCTTGGCTGTGGCCCTAAAAGAGGGGAATCCCTCCCTGTCTTCAGAGAGCGGGTTGCTGATTATCTGGTGAGAATTGTGAAGGAGGAGGAAAAACTGATGAACCTGAAAGCAGACTACAAGAAGAAGAAAGTTCTCCATGATAAGGCATGGAGCAGCAAGCGGCAGAGTCTGAAGCCAGAGCTTAAAGGTTTGGAGGACGTCATGAAGCAGCGGCAGAGTCTAAAGCCGGAGATGAAAGGTTTGGAGGACGTCATGAAGCAGCGGCAGAGTCTGAAGCCGGAGATGAAAGGTTTGGAGGATGCCATCAAGA